CAAGAGGGAAGCTGGAGCCTTTTCTATAGGAAGCACAATGCAGTACTGTTTGAAAGAGGGATGAATTTGTGCCCATTTCACAGATGGGTAAAACAGAGTCCTGGGATCACTGACCCCGCGTCCTAGAGACTCAACTTTCTGTTCATCATCATGCAACCCTGTTTCTCTTCAAACAGGCAACATGCAGTACTGGTGTTTCCATCTCTGGGCTGCACACGGGTTATTAGGGAAAAAAAAGATGATAAATAAAGATAAATGGAGGAAAGGGGAACATGCTGGCAGTCCTTCTCCATCATTCCTTTCCTCCCTTAAGCAGATCAAATTATGACCTGAAATCACTGAATACATATTTTATTATGTGGATAATTTAAAGGATAAGGGTGAGAGAGAGAATTCGTAAGGCGCAGTGGTGTTAGAAGACAAAGAGTTACCATTAATCTCCTAGGGGGGGAAAAAAAAAGAACAGGAGAAAATGAATGGGAGGAGGGGAGAGAGGTGAGATGGCTCACAAGCATCGTGGTGATGCATGTGTTGCTCCTGAACAAAACTTCTGAGCCCTGTGGCTCCTGCTTGCCCTTGCCAGGGCTGTGCCCAGGGCTACACCCTTGCGGTCTGCTGGGCTTTGGCTCAACTTAGGCGCCAGCTGGAGCGTGATGCTGCCATGACTTTGAGGGGTTGCCCCTCCTCGTCACCCCTCTGCCCCTGCAGCTCGATAGTGGCTTCGGGATGTTTGTCGGTCGGCACAGGATCAGGAGGAGATGCTGAGTTTGTGACTTAATAGAAATAAACCACAGGATTGTCGTGTATAGGGTGTGGAAGGCAAGGGTTGGAAAAAAGGGAGTTATGAAGACCAGTTTAAAGAGGGTACATCCACCTCAGAGACCCAGGGAGGGCTGCATGGCTCAGGGAAGGGCTGAGAGATGCTGAGTTGGTGGGGGCCTGAGCACAAGATAAAGGGGCTGAATTCTGACTTCAGTGGGACCTTATTTGCAGACACTCACATTTTCAAGTTGTCTTGAATGGGATTTGGTCTTCACTGCCAGCAAAGACAGATACCAGGTTGAAGGGAACTTTTGGGATTAAAAACATACATACAACATCTGTATCTTTTTGGGGGTATCTGGAATTCAGAGTGCTGGTTGTTTCAGTGAGGACAAATGAGTTTCTCCCTACCCAATGTGCACATATCCTGGGTGGAAGGACATTGGGTTGGGTTCACACCTACAGCCTTCACTCCCCTCCTTGCTGCTCAAGTGCACAAATGCAATCCACTGGGGGAAGAGTGGTACCTGTAAGAAATAAAGGAGGGTCAATTCTGTAAAAAAACAACCCCCAAAGCTTGTTTACCCACAGTGAGGCTCCTGCTAGAGGAACAGGAGCATCCTCAGGTCCAGGCCTGCTATAACACTTGGCTGAAATGAGCCCAGTGGTGTCTCTTGGCCCAGGGGAACACTGAATTTGCTCTTTCCCTGCACACCTGGATCCTGCATGCTGTCCCTTGGAAGGTCTGTTAGCAAAGCACAGGCTCAGAGGGATGCACGAGCAGGCAGAGCTGTGTGCAAGCTGCTAGCTCACATTTTGCAAACCGCATTACCACTGCAGCAATCCCCACAAAAATCATCCCAGGTGCAGCAAACAGGAATGAAACTCTACCCAAGGCCCCCAGGCTGCATGAGCAGTTTGGGATTCGTGTTCGGCTTGCACCACTGACTTGATTTCAGCTGTCACATGCTATTACTCACGCCTCCTAAGGATGGCCTGTATGTTCTTTTAATTTGAACGTCTCCCAATTATGTTCCTTGGCTGCCTAAGAGGATTTTAGAAATGAGGTGGCAGTGCTGTCCAGCTGCAGCTGCCAGCAGACCCCAGCCCCAAGGCGGGAGCACGGAGGGATTTCAGGGAGAACGCTGGGGCTGGAAGTGCTCGTGCCCCACAGCTACTTGTGCAAGTCCTCAAGAAGTCACTGCACGCCCTGCCCCAAAGGCTTTTTCCCACTGCTCGATTTTATAGGATGAGTTCTTATTCTGCCTCTGCTGAGTAGCAGTGGTGAATCATCATCCAGACCCAGATTTAAGGGGGTGAAAGTTAAAGTAGGAATGTATAAAATGCCTGTTTTTGGAGCTAAGCTAAGATTTAAAACTGCTGTTTTTGGTGAAGCTGACTCAACTCAAATGGCTTGTCAATGGGGAGGAGGGAAGGCAGACTTGCTTTAACCCAAAGCAATTTCATTTCATTAACAAAGAGTGAAGACACAGAACAAATACCCCAGCATTGCCTTGTTGAGCTGAGAGCAGTTTGGGAAGACTCCCAACACCAGAACCCATTCTCAAAGCAGAACTAAAGCAACGTGATGGTCACCAGCAGGCTGTGGGATGGGCTCTGGTCTTTGTGTCACAAATCCTGCCACACCACGGCTCCCTGGGGGCTTCAGCTCCTTGGTTCCCCATGTCATGGCAAGCAATGGGCTAACAGGGTGCTTTCTTCCAGCTAAATGTCAGGGTTTGGCTGCCCTCTGGCCTCCTCCTACAAGGAGAAAGGAAAGATGACTTCTGGGCAAGGAAGGATTGGCTTTGCTTTTCCAATTATCTGCTGGTGTCTTTGTAACCTTCTGGAGTTAGACCAAATTAAACAAACAAGGATCCAGCACGCGAGTTGAACGCTGGCATTAGCAGCCTGCCTGCACTTGCTGCTGAAGAGCCCTGACATATTGATATTAATTTAAATTTCCCCTTGACCATCACTTTCGATTCCCTCCAGCAATGAACTTCTTTTTAGCACTGAAGCGTGTTCCTCCCACTCTTCTATTAAATGCTTTAAGATTAATTAAAAAGGTTGGCTTGCTGTGTAGGATTTCAAATCCTCTTTCTCGCAGAAAAACCCTTCCTCACCCAACACCTCTCCCAGGGACTCAAGCACTGGAGGCAAAAGCTGCTGTGGGGCAGCTACCAGCTTTGTCACTTTGTCACTTTGGTCTTCCAAAGCAAGAAACTGTAAGGACTGCACGCACCTACCAGCTGCAATTAATTTTCACAATGAGAGTTAAGCACTGGAACAAGTTTCCCAGAGAGGCTTAAGAATCTCTGTCCTTGCTCAGTTGAGCTTTTGAGCATCTCCAAGCCCTGGAGCAACCCTAACCAGCTTTGAAGCTCTGAGCAGGGGGAGGAGCAGAGACTTCCAGAGGTGCCTCTTGAATTTCATTGCTCCCCGACACTAAAAAACGCTGAAAACCTCACTGAGGCCATGCATTGAGGATGGAAAGGAGACTGTTGAAGGCTAGCACGTTGCTGAAGGAACATAGCATGGTATCAGTACACCAAGTGTGTGAATTGGGAACTCACCAGCCATTAACCAGCTTGCCTGGGGATGGCTTCTTGTCAAAACAGTAGATGAGAGCTTCTGCAGGTCTTTGCAAGTGTTGTTTGGAAAGGGAAAACCACTGCCTCTTCCACAGCCTCTGTTAACTGGACCTGCTCCTTCCACGTGGGTCATCTGCAGGATCCTCACTTCTCCTGGCAAACACCACACACAGCAAACCAATGGCTTTTGGATAGCGAGCTGCTCGTACAGAGGACACGGGAAGACAACTAATTCAAAAGAAATTCAACCAAACGCCGTTAAAAGATTATAGTAATTATATGCAACTTAATACACGTCAACACTGAGAGTTACCTGAAGGAAAAAAAATTAAGGGGATTAAAATAAGGAGCATATCACTTGTGACAAAAAGACAAAGACAAAAAATGCCATCAACCCGTGTTTATGAGCTGCTGTGTTTCTAATTAGGGCCAGACTCTAAATTTGCATTTTATCTTGATTGAAGCAGAATGAATACCTAGAAAATAAAGGAGGCTAATGTTAAACTGCTTTCACTGCTTAATTCAAGGAGTAACCTTACAGCATTCAAAATAGCTGTTTTTTTTCCCTTCTGTTTTCAACATCTTATCCTCATCAGAGCCATTTCAATTTAAAGTCCAGAGGACATTCAAGTAGGGAGCAGAGGAGGAATGAAGGCGGCTGCCAAGTGGCTGCTTGTGGCATGGAGCAGGGGGACAGGAAATGTGCCCCAGGGGTCCTGTCACAACACCAGACACAACAGCAGCAGCTCAAATCAAAACAAATCAATAGGCACCAATAAATGAGACAGGCTGAGGGAAACCCAGCATCCAAGGCAGAGAGGGTGGCAGATCTCAGGCACAGGCACCCACGCTGAAAATGCAGTGAAAATGGAGACGGACTGCTTGGCAGGAGGCCGAAGGAACCCATCTTGATTCCTTCTATCACAGCGACCTTGGTGACTCACATGGCTGAGACCTGCAGCCCTGCAGCAAGACAGTATGATCTCATGCTCTGTTCTCTCTCCCTGCCCTCCTTGCTCTCACCATGCTGGCATGTCAGCAATCCCAAAGAAACCCAGCGCGCACCGGGTGCTGCCTACGTGTATGCCTCTTGGAGTTGAGCATCCCCAGCTTCTTCCCAACTGGACACAGCTTTTCAGAAGCCAGCAAGGATTCACATCCCACTCCCTTCTAGCTGAGAGCTACAGCACACCTATCTGCTGCAGCCGAGCTGGAAAACAAGCACGAGCATTGTGTCAGGACAGGATCTGTCCTCAGCTCTGATGTAAAACTACGTAAAACATCAGTTCCATGTATTCACCACCTTTCACACACAGCAGGCACAGCTGCATGACTGGCGGCCCAAGCCTGCAGCAAGACCTTGCTGTGCACAGCACACAAAACCCCATGCAGCAACCCCAAGCCTTGGAGGCACAAGAGAGAATGAATGAACTCAAAGGGGATCTGCTTGTGAATTGAAATGCTGCCTACAGGTATCGCTGTGTGCATTGCACCTTCACCACATGCAACGAGAAAAAGCTGCTACACCCACCCATTCCACTTCCAGGCTTAACAAGTGCTGGCAGCTCCGTGTGACTGCTGCTCCTGGGGACCATCTGCACCTCCTTCCTCCCCCTGCTCTTCTGACAACAAAGCAACAACAGCTCTTAGCATCATGGTTTATTCCCCCTCCGTATGTACAATTAAGTGTATGCACGACCATTAAAAATAAGGCTACTTATATCATGGCTCTGAAACACATTACAAACCAACTCCATCCCCTCTCTTATTACAGCATTCACAACGCTTAGCTTCCATTGATGGTTTGCAGAGGGGCAAACATCAGAAGACCACACAGGAGGCGAGTGGTGCAGGGCTTTGGTAACTGGATAAAGATGCTTTCTCCTCCAGCTGATGTAGTCAAAGAGAGGCAGCTCAGTGTCAATGAGGGCACCTCTCCAAGATGTCTCAGTGAGGGCAGTCCAGGTCCCAGGCAGCTGCAGCTCACATCATTTCTGCACAGTCGGTGGCAGGCAGCAGAGGACTGGGTTCACGTGGGTGAAAGGCTGACTTACTCCTCTCCTTTGGAGCAGCCCCTTAGGGCCAGAGCAGGGCCATAAAGGGAAGAAGAAGGGGAAGCTGCCCTTCTCTTCTGGGTAACCAAAGGACTTTAGTCTCCAGCGATGTCAACCTGGGTGACATTTCTCAACATTTAATGCATCTAAAAAATAAAATCAAAGGAACAACTCAACCATATCTGAAAGAAAATTGCTTGCACGTCCAGGTAAGGCTCAGAGACTTTATGCCAACAGGGATGAAGGAATAGTCCAGATAAAGATGAGTGGAGATACGCAACTGAGGACAGCCCTGTGTGGTCCGGTAAGCTCCCTTCCCCAGTAAATCTGTTCCCATATGCAACAAGAGAGAATCTTCCCGCTTCAGCTTGTGGCTCAATAAATTTTATTATTTCTTTTTGTTTTTATTTAAAAGAATTTGTTTTCCTATCATAAAAATTAGACAACCATACCACCACCAGCAGCAGCAAAGTCTGTGGAGTTAATGTTGATGGCAGACAGTTCACCGGTGTTCCCAGCGTCTCAAAAATGTCCTTGAAAGTCCATATATGGGAAAACAAACAAACAAACATGGTGGTTTTGGGGAGGAATATCAAGGTGGTTTCGGTTTCTTGTCCTACTGAAGATCCCAGATGAACACTGCAGCATATCAGCAGGACCAAGTACCTCAAGCCTTGAGAAAAGCCTTCATACCAGCTCCAGTACCTGATTAATAGGGAAGAAAAGGCGTATAGAATAGGAATTTATGATGTTCATTATCTCCTACATCAGCATATAGATCACTAGGACAGGTCTGACCCTTCTTGTCTCCACCTCTTACCCTTTATTCACCAGCATGCAATAATATCAAACAAATGAGATGAGCACTGTGAGGGCTGACAACTGCTGAGCGATTTGTACAGCTTGTGACAACCCAGGGTGGTTTTACTGGGGACAGCTGAGGGCTGTAAGTCCATGAGCACAGACTGGCATGGTGGAGAGGGATGGGCCCACAGCATATCTGCAAATCCTGCCTTTTCCTGGGCACTGCCAGACTGTCGCACCTTCCCCACTGTCTGATAACACGCTCAAATAGAAATATCAGAATCCAAATAACCTTGGCTGTTTACACATTTCCCTCTCCACCTTCTCTCATTAACAAGCAAAGTGCATGAGCAAAACCACTCCTGTTGCTGCTGGATTCACTTAAAAGTATCAGAAGCACCTGTGTGCTTTGCCCATTTAAGTAGGAAGGAAGTGACCAAAGTAACGAGCAACCAATTCCAAAGTCTGCCAAATAAATCACCTACAAATGAAAGGCTACAGCATCACACACTGCAATAACAGGAGTAACCAGGCCAATCATGGCCTAAAAAGGAGGAAAAACATAAACCCAGTCACAGAAAAACAGATGACTTGAGACTTATTTCTGCTTTTTCAGTGATTTTTCCAGGTTCGTTCAGATCATCGGATCTGGTCTGGCTCCAGAAAACTGCTGTCACATGATGGCACAAGGGAAAACTGGGAGGAGGAAGCTCAGATTCACAAGGGTGACAACACAGCATGGAACTCTGCAGACAGCAAGTAAATTCCTTTATCAGCAGACACAGAAAGCATCAGAGCTGTGGGCTACGAGCCTGCAGCATGAACACCAAGCCTCAAAAGCACGGTGGAGGTGAATGCTGCTGGGTTCAATCCAGGACAATGCTGGACCTGGGGCTCTCCCGAGGAGCAGCACCTGGGTTTGGGCAATATTTCTGCTCGGCTGTGTGCTTGATAGAGACACAAAGTGGGACAAACATTATTTGACATTGTGTGGACAGAAATACGTTGAACAGATATTCTGGAAAGACTTTTATTCAAGCACTGAAAACCTGGCAAAACATTAGCCTCTCTTTGCACAGGGAAGGCTGTTGCTTTCGTAAAACTCTACGTTGGCAGCTGCTGTCTGTTAAAGTCAGTCCACATGCTCAGAGTAAGCAATGCGAGGGAGCAGCCCTGCTCATTTCAAGCACTGCTCTAGCTGGCTGCACATCAGGAGCTCAGCTTTCAGCTCTGCTGCACCAGCCAGAAGATGGGGTCTGGCTAATGCCAGCGAGCAAATGCAGAGCCTCCTCTGCTGTCACAAAAATCAACACGAGCGCGTGGAGATGTTTGTGCCAGACAGCACTAATTTAAAACCTCTCCATTCAAAGCAACGCCACGCAGCTGCTTTCGAACCAATGTGGAAACGCAGCGGCTGCTGTGGCAACTGAGACGTGGCACCTATTATCAGTCAGGAAAAATATTGCATACATAACACCCAGTGCCAGGCCTGTGTTTAATTTAAGCAGCACATCACTGCAGAACATCGAGCTCTCCCGATGCAGGCTGCTTTCCCTTCTGCACTGTTGAGAGCCAAGGGGCAGTGGGTGCAAGGCAGCACCAGCAGCTTTCTGCACCCTGCTCCTACCTCTGCTGTATGCTCACTCCTCCACGTGCCAGAGGCAAATACATCGTTTAAAATGCACATTCCATGGCTGGGATGACTTCCTCTGATGCTTTCTCCTGGCTGTACCAAGTCTGTGGCCTCGCTCTTTACTAACAACAGATTTGAGCGCAAAGAGAAGATGCACAAAATAACTTACCTTAATTGTACCCTGACTGTTAGCAGCAATTAGCACGTTGGACTCCTGGAAAAAAAACAAAAAACAGAAGAGGCACTGTCACTATTTGCCACTGCTTTTCCATTTTTTCCTTTTTTTTTTTTTTTTGGAAGAAACAGCTGTGAAGTAGTTGCTTTTTACCTTAAACACTGTAAGTATCTTTAATTGCAAAAGGAACTTAACTCTTCCCACTTCCAGGATACTTTCGAGGCTAGAAGTCTTCATAAAAGTTACATTACCTTAAAGAGTTAGAAAGCAATAATCCCTAGTGCTCGTACACAGCTTTAAATCTCAAAAGCAATTTACAAACATGAATTAATCCTCACAGTCCCCTTGTGAAGTGGGCAAATAATAACAATCATTTCATCTTTTGGCAGCATATGGACAAAGGTCTCTGGTGCCCTACCTAACTAAACCAACTCATCAATGTGACAAAAGCTCTCCAGCTTAGCCAAGGGGCTTCCAACCAACAGAACAAAGAGGGAAAAGAGTAGCTTTGTCAGAAAGCAACAGCAAATACACCACGTTTGGAAGGAAAGGAAAAGAGGGCTTCAGCTTTGCCGTGATTCAGAAAGACAGCACCTGCTTACCTCCTGTGAACCAATGGAGTTTTCTTAGGAGATATCCTGGTTGTCTGCAAATTAATGCCTGCCACACCACCAGGCAACCTCAGGCATACGCTGTGTGCCAGCCACAGACAGGAGGACCTCTGCCCTGCTGCCTGAATGCCTGATGTGACCAGCAGTGCAAACACACCCTCCCAACCAGAATCAGTTAAGGCAGGGAAATCCCAAATGAACGACACGGTGCCTAGAAACATGAAAAAAACTGAGCACTATAGCGATGGCAGCAGCACTGGAAGTAACTCCCTCCCTACCTGGTGTCCTGCATGCCCTTTTCCAGCCATCCAGCAGCACTGTATGCAAAAACACTGTATGATGCCAGACCACCTGCCATAAACTGTTTTGTCTAACGATAGCCGATATCTTTCCTCCAACATTTTTCAATTTCTCTTGCTGCTGCTATCCATTCTCAAAGTTGCTGTAATTATCCCATCACTTAACGCATGCATTTTTAATGAAGGTGACTGGAACAAACCTGCTGGAGTTCAGCAGGGTGGAGGTGGCCATGCAGCAGGCACATCACTGCCTGGGGCACAGGGCGATGGATGGGGCTGCATGCTGGATGGATGGAGCTCTGGGAGCCTGCACAGCCACCAGCTCCGAAGCAAAGGGAGAGAAATCCCATTGGATGTGTAAGTCCACTGAACAGGTAAGAGCAGCCTTCTGGTGGCCCACTGGGCTAATTATTAGAAATAGAATTGCTCACCCCCAGTTCTATCCATTAGGGGATTAGTTACTACTCCTGGTATTATCTCAGCAATGATCCTCCAATGTCAAAGCTCCCGAGAAGAAAATACATCCTCAAAGAAAACATATACTCCAATTTCCATTCATTTGGAGGCTAGCAGAGTCTAATCCTGTGAGCTCCCCAGCTTCTGGTTAACAACTACAATCCAAAAACAGCAGGAAGGATGCAGATCTAAGTGTGATCTGGTGACCAGAACAGGGAGCGGATCGCTCTGGGATGCCTGATAGGATTCTGGGGGAGAGGCACGGATACCAATCCACTGACCTGTGCCAAAGAGTGAACTCCTGGGTACAGATGGTCTGGGGCCTGAACGATTCCTGTATGCACTGCGAGTGATTGGTAATTCATCCCGTGGCTGCAGTCTGCTGGGGTACCACTGTAAATGAACTCTGGTTCAATGAACAGTTTTACCTTGCTAAATAAAATAAAAACGCCAGAGGGTAATATACTCTCGCTCTCTAGTTCTTCAGAAGTCACCGTTTCTTCAGCAGGGCTTGAGCTAATCGCTGCTCCGCCGCTTTCATCCACAACCACAACACACAAATGAGAGCAGACAGCGGCAAAATTAGCACCAAATCTGTCATTGAACAAACAGGGACTCGTGTGTAAGGCATTCCGACATTGCTTCTCTGGGAACACAGCAAGGAAACTCTTTAATCCTCTAGAGGAACAACACTCTTCCTTCTGTGCTGCCTGAGAAACAAGCAATACATGCAAGGCATCAAAAACCTAAGCAAGTCGTGCAGCTGCTCAGATAGCAGCGTGAGCCCTGTCAGTTTATACCTCCCAGCAGCTACGCACATGTTGAGCCAATCTGTTTGCCTGGGTGGGTAGAACAGTTACCTCAAAGAACAACTACCACCATGGCCACCTCATCTGGCACACCTATGGCACCACTGTGAGCATCCAGGCATGAACAAACAGGCTCCCACTGTTGGCTCTGACTGCATGTCCTGCTTGATCACTTTGTAACCATGCATGGCGGGATGGTTGGAAGGCTGGTCTTTGATCCCTCTCTCATACATTGCATGAGCCCAAATATCCCAAAGCAGAGGTAGGGGGATGTGGAAGACCCACCAGGACTGAATGCTTGTGCCCTGGAGTAACAAGGTTTTGAAATGACTCTGCTACACACGCACCCTGCTGGGTCCTGCTGCGGGTGGTGAGCAGCTGCAGCCCTTCTTGCAGCAGGAGCTGTAGGTGCCAGCTGCCTTTGCTAAAAGAAGATTGAAAGGGAAAACAAAAATAAAGAACAAACACGATAAAAATCAAGCGAAGGTTTTACTGCCTGGCAAACAGCAGCATTTTTCCATCCGGCAAGCATTACTGCACCCTGATGAAATGTGGCAACCTCTCCCATGCACATCAGGGCAGATAAGGGGTGATGGGCAGAGATGTGATGCAGTGTGCGTGGGTCCCCCGCCATGAGATAACACAGCATTTCAACAAGCCAGGGACAGCCACGGAACTGACAAGAGACTGTTGAAGGTTTTTGGTCCTGTTAAATCAATAGAAAAGAGCACGGCTCTGGGGATTGTCAGAACTATGCAATTGGAGTTATGCACACATCTAAAAAAGATTAATTGACAAATCTAGGTGCACCTCAGGATTTGCATCGAGATGAACACAGACTGCAGGTCCACAGATGCTCCAGGGCTGAAGTCTTGTCTTGTGCTGAGAACAGCCTTTCTTTCATGCTGTCTTTTCCCTCAGGTGCCCTGACATTACTATGAGAAGTCTGACAGACAGTTGCTCAACGTTGGGAAGGGCTCAAGTCTACCACCAATGCCTTCCTTCCTACAGACTGGCTGTGGATCTACACAGAGATAGGCACTATGCAAAATGAATTTTGTAGTGAGAGATAAGGTGGCCCATACAGAAGCACCTCTGACCTGAACCTGGCATCCTCATCACCTGGAGCTGGAAGAATATGACTCACTCACCCCAAGCAACTTCAAAGCACTCACCCTTGGGATCTGATGGGACTTTCACTGATTGCACCAAAAGAAGAAATTGCTACAGCACATTCTTGAAGGGAAAGAAAAACAAAATCAAATCTGGGACCTTCCTGAGTAGATGAGATACCTGCTACATTCATCATTCAAAGGAGTTATTCACCTGGTGACAGCTGGGTTTGAAGCACTCTGATTTCCTTTCCTCTTAGATGAGCCCTGCGTTTGGATGGCCCTGGGGAGGCAATTTGTACAAGGGAGGGAGGGGAAGGCAAGCCTGGCTGGCTGCTGGTATTCATGCAAGAGCAGTCAGAGAATCAGAATTGCTCTGGAAGTTTCCTGAAGCTTGAGGTAACTCAGCTGAACAACTGAAACCCTGCAAATTGTCAGAGCTGCTTCAGAGTGATAGGAAGTAAGGGCTGTAGCTCTGTGCAAGAAAACATCGGTGGGCGAAACTGGATGAAAGTCACCCCAGATGGAGAGTTGTTAGAGCCACAATAAGGGCACAGCTTCTTGGATGGGCACACATTGGCACTCAAGCATACAGTTCTGCAGTGCAATTGCATAACCCATCTCTGCCAGCCCCCCTTGTTAACAAAGAGGTTGGTAGGTGGACATCCTCACCTGCAGCCTCAGCCTCCAGATGTTGTGCATCCCTCATCAGTGGGCTCCTGTGAAACCACAGGAAAGTGGCTTAAGGTCTTCCTCTCGTGGTAATTTTTTTTAGAGAGCCTGTTCCAAAAGGACTTGGTACAGGCAAGATGAACACAAATAACTTATCTTTTTTTTCCTTTAATCCTCTTTGCAAGATCACTCACCTACTGCTAACCCAAACACACCAAACCTTAAATTCAGATGTTCCCACTCTCTGCTGCAACTTTGCCTGAAGGAAAAGCTGAAGCATCATCCACACAAAGAGCACAGATGCACACTTGAAACATCTCTGCCCCTCCAGTATGAATTGGAGCACTTGTGTATGAACATAACCTACACTTCTACAGTTTGCAAATGGAATAGTTTTGTGATTGCTGGTCCAATCCAGACCAGAGTCGGAGCTCTTGAAAGGCTGCTAAATGCACTGGGTAGCTAACAGCCACTGCTTTAACTGTGTATGCAAACACATAAAAGATGCAGAAGCACTCCTCAGTGCCATTAACCAGACACAACTAAGCTTCAAACAAACCTGGCCAACTGCTTCCCACAAGGACTGCACTGAGGAAGAAGTCTGCTTAATGGAGAAACAAGACAACGTGGACTTATTTCCTACTTTTGCACTCTGTTTTCTACAAATAGCAGCAAGAATGCAACGGGCTGAAGAAACTGCTTGTTAGGAAGATTAATGTGGAGCAGTATGTTTCTTCAAATTATATGTGCACGTGTTCACGCAACAGACTCAAAATCTTATTTGGGACTTCCAATGTCTTATAAATAATTACAGAAGATGAACTCGTGCCCCTCCTATCCCTTCACTTCTGCATAAATAAACCACATTCCCTTCAAAACTTCCAGCCCCATAGCCATTGAGGTAAGTGTGAGTTTTCTGCATTTTCAGCTAGATTTGTTCTATAGGTTCGCAGTTAGGATTCTTAAAGAACTTATTTTAAATTAACAACTTCTCACCTTCCCGCCCCAGCAGACGTTTCTGCTAACAAAAGCCTGGTTTGTCAGCAATTCTCTTTCAAGCAGCTCAGCCCCAAACACGTA